CAACCCCCACATGAACTGGGTCACAGGGGAGATTACAAGTTGGGACAAAGACTGTTCTGTAACCTGCATTCACGCTGTGTCTATCTCCAAGATATCCCACTCTTCTGATGTTTCTTCCACCAAGTGTCTAGAACTTCCTGTGTCTCGATCTGCAGTTATCTCTCCCCGCACAGCTTCATCGGACGCTGATTTCCCAGATCTCTCCCGAGTCCCCCCATGTTATCTAGACCTCCAAGGAGGTCTTCAACAAGACACTGGCTATCTCTTTACCACCTCATCGACCTTATGACTGTGCCATTGACCTGCTACCAGGCACTTCACCCCCCAGAGGGTGCCTCTATTCCTTGTCTTCACCGGAGGTAAAAACTATGACTGAATATATTGACTCCTCCCTGGCAGCAGGACTCATTCGGCCGTCCTCCTCTCCTGTTGGAGCTGTGTTCTTCTTTGTGTCCAAAAAAGATAAGACTCTCCGCCCATGTATTGATTATCGGGGATTAAATGAGATCACAATCAAGAATCGATATCCTCTTCCCCTCATCTCCTCTGCGTTTGAGCTTTTAAGGAATGCTAAGATCTTCACCAAACTGGACCTGAGGAACGCCTATCACTTGGTGAGGATAAGAGAAGGGGATGAATGGAAGACCGCCTTTAATACTCCAAGTGGCCACTATGAGTACCTAGTAATGCCCTTTGGGTTATCGAATGCGCCAGCGGTATTCCAGGCGTTGGTTAACGATGTACTTCGTGATATGTTGAACCAATATGTCTTTGTCTATTTAGACGATATCCTCATCTTCTCCCCAGATGAGGACACTAATGTCAAGCATGTTCTCCAGCGTCTTCTCACCCACCAACTTTTTGTTAAAGCAGAGAAATGCGAATTTCATGTGTCCTCTGTCGCTTTCCTAGGGTTCATCGTCTCGCAAGACAACATCCAGATGGATCCGGCAAAGGTTAGCGCAGTGACAGAGTGGGCTACTCCCACTTCTCGCAAACATCTCCAACGTTTTCTGGGCTTTGCTAATTTTTACAGACGTTTCATTAGGAACTTTAGCACCATTGCTTCTCCTTTGCATAAATTGACCTCCTCGAACATAAAATTTCAGTGGTCATTACCGGCTGAGAGCCTTTCAGGAATTAAAGGAGCGGTTTACTACTGCCCCGATCCTCACGCTCCCGGACCCTAACCTTCAGTTTCTGGTTGAAGTTGATGCCTCAGACGTAGGAGTTGGGGCCATACTCTCGCAAAGATCAGAAGTGGACAGGAAGCTCCATCCCTGCGCCTTTCTGTCTCGGAAACTTTCGCCCGCTGAGGGAAATTATGATGTGGGGAATAGGGAGTTACTAGCTATTAAAGTGGCTCTGGAGGAGTGGCGCCATTGGCTGGAGGGGGCGGAACAGCCGTTCTTAGTTTTGACTGATCACAAGAATCTCGAGTACATCAGGTCCGCGAAACGGTTAAATTCCAGACAGGCCAGGTGGGCTTTATTTTTCAATCGCTTCAATTTTTCACTGTCATATCGTCCTGGTTCGAAGAACACAAAAGCAGATGCACTATCTCGTTTGTTTGACCCTGGTTCTGCCCCGAGATCTCCCTCTACAATCTTGCCTCCATCCTGTGTGGTTGGGGCAGTTACCTGGGCTATCGAACAGAGAGTCAGACAGGCAAATGTCAATGGTCAGGTGCCGGACGGATGTCCTCCGAACCGGTTGTTTGTGTCGATTCCACTTCGTCCTCAGGTCATCCATTGGGCTCATACCTCTCGGGTTTCTTGCCACCCTGGGATACGGCGGACTCTTTGTGGTCAAACAACGCTTCTGGTGGCCATCCATGGAGAGAGAGGTCAGGGAATATGTGACTGCCTGTCCCGTTTGTGCGCGGAATAAGAGTTCACGACGTCCACCCTCGGGTCTCCTGCAGCCACTTCCTGTGCCCCATCGCCCCTGGTCTGATATCTCTCTGGATTTTGTCACCGGTTTGCCTCCTTCAAAAGGTAACACCACTGTTCTAACAGTTGTTGACAGGTTCTCGAAAATGGTTCATTTTATTCCCTTGCCCAAGCTGCCTTCAGCCAAAGGGACAGCAGATGCTGTCCTGTTGCATGTTTTTCGAATTCATGGATTTCCGAAGGATGTGGTGTCAGACCGGGGCCCACAGTTTGTTTCACAGTTCTGGAAGGCGTTCTGTTCCCTCCTCGGTGCCACAGTCAGCCTCTCCTCCGGATACCATCCCCAGTCAAACGGTCAGGCGGAGCGGATGAACCAAGAGTTGGAGACCGGACTACGATGTCTTGTCTCCCAAAACCCGGCTACCTGGAGCAATCATCTCATCTGGGTTGAGTATGCACACAACACATTACCCAGTGCATCTACCGGCCTTTCTCCATTTCAGTGTGCCTATGGCTACCAACCTCCACTGTTCCCCGACTTGGTGAGGGAGGTCAATGTCCCCTCTGCCCAGAGGTTTGTCCATCGGTGCCGGAGGATCTGGAAGGGGGTTCGGGAGGTCCTTCTAAGAAGCTCCGTCCGTACAAAGGGGGCGGCAGACCGTCGACGGACACTTGCACCCACATACCGAACAGGCAATAGAGTCTGGCTGTCTACTCGTGACATTCCCCTACGTGTGGAGTCCCGCAAGTTGGCTCCACGGTTTATTGGTCCGTTCCCCATCTCCAGGGTTATCAACCCCGCTGCAGTGCGACTCCAGCTGCCCAGTTCTATGAGGGTGCATCCCACCTTTCACGTCTCCCGGATCAAGCCTGCATTGGAGAGCCCGTTGGTCCCCCCCACCAAGCCCCCTCCTCCTCCTCCCAGGATCGTCGATGGAGGGCCGGTGTACACGGTCAAACGCCTCTTGGCAGTTCGCCGCCGTGGTCGCGGTCGCCAGTACTTGGTAGATTGGAAGGGGTACGGTCCTGAAGAGAGGAAATGGGTGTCTACAAAGAACATTGTTGACCCGAACCTCATTCTAGACTTCCATCGTCTACATCCTGACCGGCCAGAGACGTCCAGTGCTGTCCCTAGGAGGGGGGGTACTGTTATGTCCAGCCCTGAGTATTAAGTTAAGTTGGCGGGCTATTTATAATTCTTCGGTTATGTGTTATTGTTTACTCACCTCTCGTTTCAGATTCCTCACTCCCTCCCTCAGGTGTGTGGGTTCCACCTGGGTGATTGTCAACCCCTCCCTGATTGTTTGCACCCGGTGTATTTAGTCTGTGGGTTCCTGTCCTCTGTTGCCAGTTCGTCTTTGATACAATGTTCCAGCATTTACTCCTGATAGCCTCCCTGTTACCGACCCCTGCCTGGTTAACGCGTTACGTCTCTGCCTTTTCCCTGCCGGATACTTTGCCTGGTGATCGACTGCCTGCCCGTGTACCGACCTTGGACCGGAACGTTTACGACCTTTGCACCTACCTGCCTCCTGTCGGATTCTTACACCCGTGTTTGTACTGCCATCCAACAGTAAAATTGGTTTACTGCACCTTCTTGTGTCTCCGAGTCGTGCAATTGAACCCACACACTTGTCTGCACCCTTTACACTTTGAGTCAAAGGTGTTATTCTGATGGAAATGTGTGATGATGATGAAGATGATGTAGTTAAATATGTGGCAAGTTGTATTTGTTTTACATTTTACTGAATAACATCAAGCTGTGAACTGATAATAGTGTTTACATTGCAGATGGACACATTTCTCTGGTTTAATAAAGTATTTATTTTGGTGGCCGTACAGAGTTCCTACGGACGAGCATCAATTAAGAACATTCATTTAAACCAGGAAGACTCTTCTAATCTGGTTCTTGTTCTGTTTCATAGATCTACGTGTTCATGCTGGCTGGAAGACTTCTACTTAAATTCTCACTGTCATTTTCATTCTCGTCATAGTTGTGGTTCTAATCGTCTGGCTTTATATTGATCGAAAGAGAAGAATCTAAGTCCAAGTAAATATTCCAACAAATAATCTCAACATCTGTAAAATCCTCTTTGTTTCCTCTACATAGAAACTCAATGTCTCCAAGTCCTCCATAACTATGTACCCACCTGTTTGGTTAAATAGCTCAATATCACAAATCAGTTTGCCTCAGAGCGCTGAACAATCTGTACAACACAGGACGTCTTTTACTGCATCAGATAAGGAAACACTTTTGTTAAAATATACATGTGATATTTTACCAAAAGGTGCTTTTTATCTCACTGGGATTGTCATGATTTGCTGTTTTGATACAAACATCCCAACACATCAAATCCAACACGTCAACATGTGCTTCTGTTTGATGGAGTAAATTAGACACCACCCAAAAGATGGAGTCACTTTATCTGCAGCTCAAGTAAATGTACAACAGTTCAGATCTTTAAAGGGCTGTTTGTTCTTCTTCCATCACTGACCTGCAGGTTTAACACAGAAACATGAACTTTTTCAGGAAGGAGCTGCTTGGGTGAGCGTTACGTTTTTAAACTAATTTAAGACATTTTTAGGATCCAAACTTTGCACCAAGGTTGTTTCCAGGTGGCTTCGTGCTGCTACATCCACACATCTGCTGCTTGCTTGTGCTCAGATCCGTGGAAAATAGAACCATTAAGAAGTCTCAAGTCACCTTTTCTTACGTGTCACAATTGCGTGTCAGACGTGTCACAATTGGAGATGTTAGTAATTACATATTTTACATTTAAGATCAATGTAAAAAAAGTAAGAAATGCTTCGGTTTTATATTTTTATTATTTAAAAAACAAACATGTATCAATTATGTTTTAACTGTGACAAATATATAAAACAGAAAATTAGGAGACAATTGTTTTTATTTCAATTTTTATCTCATTTTGACTTTCTAACCTAAATTTTTTGGTGGAAAGGCGATTTCACAAAGACGAATATGTGAAACAGCAGAGAATTTAAGAAATATATTTTTCCATAACATATTTAGTCATTCAGTGTATCAAGTGTCTTTACTATAATAACATCACATATTGATTCTTTAGTAAAAACTCACAGTAAACCAGAGAGGAACACGTGACCTTTTAATCACTGAAACACAAGATCAGTATGAAGCTTCAACAAGTTCTAAGTTTCCACCCAAAACAAAACCTGCTGAACAGAATTATGTACAAGTAAATACTGTACAAGCAGACAGATATGCAATGTATTCATTGGTCAATGGGACCGTATGCAGTATAATACAGTATATTTAAGGTTATTTGCTTACATATAGTTGGTCTTTATTAAACATTCAAGATAATATCCACCGAAAACATATTGACATGGTCTTGTGTGTGTGATATATTGTGTACAATCAATGGATTATCAGCATTTGTTTTAAAGGTGAACTATGGTTTTTACGTGAAGTTTTTTCTTGCCAAAATGCATCTTTGAGTCCACGTTTTTAATGTCTTTCCTTCCCCAGGAAATATCTGCAAAGCTGAATTTATAAATCCTTTAAATCCTAAATAGTTTGCGTCCATGTTTGCTGCTCTGCGCTCGTCTTCCTCTTTTCTTCTCCTGGTGTGTTGCTGCCACCAGCTGTGAGTCAGTGGAGCATCATCACGGGTTTAGAAGGTGACCTTTAAGTGGGAGCTTTCCTCCCGGGCAGCGTGACGTGTTTGACATCCATTTCTTTGTTGGTGCTTCTTGAAGTCCACGAGGTGAACAGTGATGACGGCAGACACCATGATGATCAGACCCACAGAGAACACCACCATCTTCACCAGGAACACGGAGGGAAGCACCGGACCTGAAACACACCACAGGTGGATTCATCACAAACACAACACGTCTGTGCTTTCTGCTTGAGTTTGTATTTAACCCCTGCGTCCCTGACGAGGAGCTTTAGAGACGCTCAGAACTGAGAATTCACTCAGAAAACACACAATCGTTTCTTTACAACACAGAAAGGCTGAAACTACAAACTGTTATCAGGAAGTCGTCTCCTCTTTCAGTCTTACCAGCATGTTCGGGGCAAAGGTGTTCAGTTATATCAAAGTCCTGGGTCCAGTGAACCTGGTTGCTATGGTTACAGATGATGGTGCTGTTCAACAGGTAGACCTAGAGAGAAGCTCTCCTCCCCCCTGACTGCAGAACCAGTCGACACAACTGAAAGTGCTGCTGATGTGAGAGTTGTGAGTCCTGCAGGTCACATGGAGGTCACATGACTCTGAGCTGCTGGAGTCAACTCGGTCCACGATCAGTTCAACTGGAGACACTGGTCCTGAGGGGGGGAGGTTTCTGTGAAGAGTTTATGAAACATGGCGGCAGAAACTATCAGTGAAATGTTTACAGACTCACCTTGAACTGTGACCTTGTATTCAGTCAGTAGTTTGTCTACATCTGTTACTGCTACAGCAGAATAAACTCTGCTGTCGACCTCTTGTACATTCTTCAATATCACAGAGAATTTATTCTCACCTAACTGAACCCTTCCAGTGACTGTTCCTTCTCCACTAGGTTTAAATCGTACTAAAAGGTCTGTTTTATTGATTTTCCAGTCAACAAATGAAACCCCCTCAGGAGGATCAGCATGAAGCTTGAGGAGCAGATCACGTCCCTTCAGCACAAACACAGGAGTCACAAAGGTTCCTGTAAAAACAGTAGACACATGATACAATAAACATCACACACAATATGTGATGAATCATTCACTGCTGAATGTTCCTCCATCACTACACTTTATTTATTACACATTGAACCAGCGGTTCACCTTCAGCTCATCATCAACTCTCGTTGCGAGACGTCTCATTAAATGTCTCACTGAGGACAGAGGACTCACCTTGTCCTTCACCCCCCCCCCCCCCCCTCATCCAAGCTTTTGGCAGACAAGTCATAAATGTGTTATAAAAAACATGTGTGATTCTTCACTTGCTTTGATGCATTTCTCCTTTTCTGGTTCTTTATGCGTTTATATAAGAAAATATAAGTTGTTCACACAAACGTTTAACGTTTATTGTCTATGTATTGTAAAGACTTCATATAATATGATAAGCATACTAATAAGATTTTGATAGATTTTTTTTAAATCTCTTAAATTGTTGTATTGAGGCTTTGTCTTTAATTCTTATTAAAAATAATCCTTTTTTGCAAAAAGATATCTTGAGGTTTTTTCACTCAGCTTACCATTTTTTACACTAACAGCAATTATTACCTTCAATTGTACTTTAAGACTTCAAAAAGTCTATAACATATCCGTCATTTTAAAGAGATATAAAAAAAAGCAGAAAAACATTTGTTTTAAAGATTCATATTAACTTCCCTCAAAGGTTCTCAGAAATCACTTGTTGAATGTGTGACATGTTTACACATAAATATTATGTATGTTGATTAATTAACCCTTCAACGGTTACATTATTGAAGATAAAGTTCTGCCTCAAGTACCATATTTATTTTGTAATACTATTTAGAATTTCGCTGGTAACCGTAAGTAAATCGCTGCCTTTGAGCACAAAATCGTTGTAGCCACCAAACGTTGTGTATCGCATTTCAGTAGAGAAAATAGTCCCCGTACGTGCGTGTGAACAGCATCGGGTCCCGTATCATCTCATTCATTCACATCGCTCATAAAATCCACCGTAATTGTCAGTTTTTTTCGGCGATCTCCACCGAGATAAAAGCTAAAATGTCAACGGCGTTATCAGGCCGAGAAAAGGCTTTAAAACGCCCCGAACACAAGAATGCGTTGGTTAACAGTGTTTCCTCAAACTAGCACCTCAGGAAAGTACATGTATCTGTTTCATGATGGGATCATGACTTGTGAATAGTTTTCCAACCTTTTTTCTTCAAACTTAGTTTGGTCACTGTTAAAGCCTCGTTTATGCTTGAGTTTTCAGAGCGACGCAGACGCAAGACCCCCTTGCGTGTCCCTTGCGTGCCTTTTCACACCTCCTTGCGTCCTTTCTAGGTCTTCAACAAAACACGTCACTGCGCCTGTTCTGTACGGGGCGACGTTTGTAAAATGTCGTACGTTCTAAAATCCTGCGCAGTTGTGCCACATTTAGCATCATCTTATGAACAAAAAAGCACGACAATATTCACATGTCACTTTTTCAAACATGTTAGAGAGAAATTCATGTACATTCATGAAATAACTTTCCCAAGGATAATGTTTGGCAGCAACGAAGTTGTTAAATTTTAATCTAAATGTAAAATGTTATATATAAATGTAAAATCTAAATGTAATTGTTAAATCTAAATGTTAAATCTAAATGTTAGACTACCCTGCTCTATAACAAGAGCTAATTCATCTGGACCTGCCAGATTGTTTCGCTGCGGCATGAATTACCGTAATTATTGTAATGTTCAGTCAAGTCTTAAATGTTAAATGTAGAGCTAAATGTAGACTACATTTGACATTTAGATTTAACATTTACATTTAAATTTAACATTTATGTTATTTAACAACTTTGTTACTGCCGAACTTCCTTGGAAAAGTTTCATTTCATTAATGTACATGAATTTCTCTAACATGTTTGAAAAAGTGACATGTGAATATCACGGTGGCGTGGTGGTTAGCACTGTTGCCTCACAGCAAGAAGGTCCTGGGTTCGATTCCGCCCAGTGGCCTTTCTGTGTGGAGTCTGCATGTTCTCCCCGTGTCTGCGTGGGTTCTCTCCGGGTTCTCCGGCTTCCTCCCACAGTCCAAAGACATGCTCTGGGGATCAGGTTAATTGGGGACTTTAAATTGCCCGTAGTTGTGCGAATGTGAGTGTGAATGGTTGTGTGTCTCTGTGTAGCCCTGCGATTGGCTGGCGACCAATCCAGGATGTACCCTGTCTATCGCCCGAAGTTGGCTGGGATGGACTCCAGCCCCCCCCGCGACCCTGTGTGCAGGATAAGCGGTTTGACAATGGATGGATGGATGGATGGACATGTGAATATTGTCGTGGTTTTTTGTTTATATGATAATGCTAAATGTGGCAAAACTGCGCAGGATTTTAGAACATGCGACATTTTACAAACGGCGCCCCGTAGTTCTGGAGGTGAATTGCTCTGCAACACACGCAAGACTTTTACAACCATGAATTGAAATGAGTGCGTCGACGCAGACGCAAAATATAAAGGCGCATGCTTCTGCGTTTGCGTCGTCATTTCAATTCATGGTTCGAAAAGCCTTGCGTGTGTTGCAGAGCGATTCACCGCCAGAACCACAGGCGGAGTGACGTGTTTTGTTGAAGACGACCTAGAGAGTCACGTCTATTTATTTATTTATTTGTTTATTTATTTATCATAGACTTTATTGCCCCGTGCATCCACACTGCTGCTTTTCATCGCGGACACATTTGTCCCGTATTTTCCTCCACAACTTTGTTCCTCTCAAGAGGGTCTTGCGTCTGCGTCGCTCTGAAACGCAGAAGCATAAATCAGGCTTAACGTGTTACTTTGAATGCGCAGTGAACACTTGTGTCAATGTGAACAGCAACTGTACGTTATTAACCAATAATGGACCCACTCTCAACCAATCAGAAGCCTGGATTTCATCTACTCGTACTATAATGACCGATAATCTATAACAGGTCTTCAACAAGGGGCCGCCAAATGTTTTTTTTAAACTAATTTTTCCCACAAATTTAAATTTCTTCAGAATCAGAATGCTATTCATGGTCTTTAAATACAAATTAAGACGTTATCTTTCAGTCCACAACACACACATTCAGCTTCTCAAGCTGCTCACTGGTTCATTCACAGGATCACATCGCGTTTATGCTCACGGCTAAAGAGTGCAAAGCTCCAAAATAAAAGATGACGGACCAAACTCCATAGAATGGGGGTCCCTGCTCCATCTCGCCCTCAGTTTGGGGGTCCTTGGCCAGAAAAACGTTGAGGACCCCTGATATACAACATATAGAATAAAGACCTGAGTGCCTAGTTGGTTTCTCACCTTGAGCCTGAATGCAGACGAGCAGCCCGAGTATCACAAAGAGAGACATGACGGAGTCTCCGACCCCACGCTGCAACAACCGGTGTTCTGCTTCACAATAAACTAACAGCTGGCCTCTGATTCAAAGAAGCTCGGAGACGTTTGCACACAGCTGCTCGTCATCAGGCTCCTTTTGAACTTCCTCTCTGACGGCTTGAGATCTGTTCCTGTAAAGAGAGATTTAGTTCAGCCCTTTGTCAAGGAGGCTCATTTACACCTCAACGTTCATCAGAGGAACAAAGTAGGCGGACACCGGATCCTCCTGCTGATTAAGACTTGGGAGCAAAGTGCTGCCTTAAGTGGTCAGAGTCGGCTGGGTTCATGCTGTTGGTCTCCAATCACAACGCTTCCTAAAGAAGACGAAAACGAGTGATATTAGAAGTGCGGCTAGCCACCATCAGACATGACCGAAGCAAATGATGAGAACAGCAAGTGTTTTAATCCAGGCCATTAGCATTTAGCACAAATGCTGCAAACTTCAACAACTCGCTGAGCTTCCGCGATGCTGTAGGTAGTTCTACTAGCGCTGTGATTGGAGACCAACAGCCAATCACAATTGACCTTCTTTAATTCTCTGATTGGTTGGTTTTGTGGCACAAATGTAACGCTGCTGCAAGTCGAGCGAGCGCGTGAGTGAAGAGGTGGAGAGAGAGCGCAGCACCGGCTGCCTGCGCGCAGAAAACCAGTTTGTGGAGAGGGCACCTGAGTAAGCTGCGCGCACGGGATATGTTTTTCTTTGCTAAAATATAGTTCTCTGTGCTCAGAACTTAAAATTACGCGCTCAGGATTGTGGCACAAATATAACGCCATAGACAACGGCCCTGAACCCAAACGCACGACTCGTGGACAAAAGTTCATTAACAAAAGGCCAAGTGCCACTGAAATAAAAATCACTCGTGGTCGAGGAAAACACTATGTACTTAAACACAAGAACCCAAATGTGGTAAAGCTACGGATGCTCACATGCACTGGTTCCTTGACGTGAGACGAACTAGTAGTGATGTGTCGTTCGTGAACGATTCGTTCATTTTGAACGAGTCCTCTCAAAAAAAGATTTGTTCATACTGAACGAGATTCAAAGAACCGAGTCTGTAAAAAGATCCGAACTTCCCATCAAATACACACAGGTTAAAAGGCACAGGTGGAAACAATCAGGGGCGGGCAGACAATCAGACCAGCACACGGGGGGAAGAGGCAAGTTGCCTGAAACGAGAGGGAGGTTCATTTTCAAAATAAAACAGGAAATCACGAGACACGAGACAACTTGACTAACCCCGTTTCCTGGACATGACGTTAAATCTACAAACTGTGGACACAGCAAGTGGACGTGAGCCAGAGGACGAGCACCACGCCACAAAGTACCTCACCTGCTCCACTTTAAAGGCCTTATTCATATCATGTGAGTGTGTCGTAGAGGAAGCTTTTCATCTCTGCTCCCTGGAACAAAACCAACATTTGAGAGAATAAATAAACTACATGAATATAAAATGCTGTTTGTACCGTGTGTGTTAGTTGCGGTTTTTCTTCAGTTTAACACCTTTAACTTATCTTGTCGATCACTGCACTCGCAAAGACAAACACTTCCTTATTTAAAATGTTCCCACTGAAAATAGAAAATGTGTCAAAGAAAGAGGAACCTGCAAAAGCAACTTTTCTCAGAAATCATCCTGCACATTAAATGATTCTGATGAGCAGCGTCTAATGGCAGAAATGCACTGTGTAAATGCTTCTTAAGCCAAGTCAAGTCAAGTCAAGTCATTTTATTTTGTATAGCCCAGAATCGCAAATTACAAATTTGCCTCAGAGGGCTTTACAGTCTGTACACATACGACATCCTCTGCCCCGAAACCCACCATCGGCACAGGACAAACTCCCCAAAAAATGAAAAAAACCCTTACAAGAGGGAAAAAAAGGGAAGAAACCTTAGGGAGAACGTCAGAGGAGGGATCCCACTCCCGGGATGGACAGACTACAATGGATGCCATGTGTACAGAATGAACAATGTATAATACATGCAATTCCTATGACAGAAATGATTCAAGTAATTGTGAGTAGTAAGCCAGGCGCACAGCAGGACCACTGCAGAGGCAACCACCATCAGATAGAACCACCATCCACAGAATCCTGTGGGGAGGGAGAGCACAGAGATTTTAGGAGAGGGTAATGGCGGTTTATGAGTAAAGTAATATGATCAATATCTAAAATAATGATGATGATGATGATGATGATGATGATGGCAGCAGCAGGCGTCAGCATGGCCACGGTAGGTGTCAGGACCAGGGTCCCGAAGGAACCACGATCTATGGAGACCTGGTAGGGGCGAAAGCACAAAAAAACTCCCGGAAAGAAGCTGAATTAGTCATGTGCATTAATAAAACTTGAATTATGGTAGAAAGAGAGCGTGAGAGAGGAGCTCGGTGTGTCCTAAGAAGTCCCCCGGCATTCTAAGCCTATAGCAGCTTAACTAGGGGCTGGTCCGGACTAACCTGAGCCAGCCCTAACTATAGGCAGAATCAAAGAGGAACGTTTTAAGTTTTACTTTAAAAGAGCTGACCGAATCTGCCCCCCGGACTGAAAGTGGAACCTGGTTCCACAAAAGAGGAGCTTGATAACTGAAGGCTCTGGCCCCCAGCCTACTTTTTAAAACCATAGGAACAACAAGTAACCCAGCATCTATGGAGCGCAGTTGCCTTGTAGGGCAATACGGTGTTACAAGCTCTTGAAGATACAACGGTGCCTCACCAGCAAGTGCCTTGTAGGTGAGGAGAAGTACCTTAAAATCTATTCTTGATTTAACAGGAAGCCAGTGCAGAGAAGTTAATACAGGAGTGATATGATCCCTTTTCTTAGTTCTTGTTAATACACGTGCTGCAGCATTCTGAATCAGCTGGAGAGGCTTAAGAGATTTATAAGAGCAGCCTGATAACAAAGAATTACAGTAGTCCAGTCTGGAAGTGACAAACGCATGAACTAATTTTTCTGCATCACTTTGAGACAGGAAGTTCCTGATTTTTGATATGTTACGTAGATGGAAATAGGCAGTCCTTGAAGTCTTCTTTATATGCGAGTTGAAGGTCATATCCTGGTCGAAGAGAACTCCCAGATTCCTGACGGTGCTGCTGGGTACCAGAGCAATTCCATCCATAAAAACTGTATCACGCGACAGCTGGCTTCGAAGGCGCTCTGGGCCTATCAGGATAACTTCCGTTTTTTCTGAGTTTAGCATCAGGAAGTTGCCGGTCATCCAAGTTTTGATGTCTCCAAGACATTCTTGGAGTCTAACTAACTGGTCCGTCTCTTCTGGCTTGATCGACAGATACAGTTGAGTATCGTCTGCATAACAATGGAAGTTTATGCGGTGTTTCCTGATAAGATCGCCCAAAGGAAGCATATAGAGGGTAAATAAAATCGGTCCAAGTACAGAACCTTGTGGGACTCCGTGACCAACATTGGTGGTCTTTGAGGATTCACCGTTTACAAGCACAAACTGGGATCGGTCCGATAGGTAGGATTTAAACCAGCTGAGTGCAGTTCCTTTGATACCAATTAAATGTTCTAGTCTCTGCAACAGGATACAATGGTCTATGGTATCAAATGCGGCACTAAGGTCCAGCAAGACAAGAAAAGAGATGAGTCCTTGGTCCGATGCAAGTAGAAGATCATTCGTAATTTTCACCAGTGCGGTTTCTGTACTGTGATGCACTCGGAATCCTGACTGGAAATCCTCGAACAAAGCATTGTTTTGTAGAAAGTCACATAATTGATTTGCGACGGATTTCTCAAGGATCTTAGAGAGGAAGGGAAGATTAGAGATAGGTCTGTAGTTAGCCAACACCTCTGGAGCAAGAGTAGGTTTCTTAAGAAGAGGTTTAATTACAGCTACCTTGAAGGACTGTGGTACATGTCCTGTTAACAAAGACAGATTCATAATATCTAATAAGGATGTGCTAACTAAAGGAAAAACTTCCTTAAGCAGTTTGGTCGGAATCGGATCCAAGAGACAAGTAGAAGATTTAGACTTTGAAAATAAAGAAGTCAGTTGATCAAGGTTGATGGAAGAGAAGGCATCCAAACAGGCATCAGGGCCCACTGCTGCATCCAAGGAGGACAGGTCGGCACTGGTTGAAGGCAGGAGACCATCAATTTTCTCTTTGATAGTCAGAATCTTATCATTGAAGAAGTTCATGAAGTCGTTACTAGTGAGATCCAAAGGAATACACGGCTCGACAGAGCTGTGACTCTCTGTCAGTCGGGCTACAGTGCTGAAGAGAAACCTGGAGTTGTTTTTATTTTTCTCTATTAATGATGAGTAATAAGATGCTCTTGCGTTACGGAGAGCCTTCTTATACGTTTTAAGGCTGTCTTGCCAAACTAGTCTAGATCCTTCTGATTTGGTGGAACGCCACAATCGTTCAAGCTTCCGCACAGTTTGCTTTAGGTTCCGTGTTTGAGGGTTATACCACGGAGCAGACTTCCTTCTTGTTGCTATTCTTCTTTCCAGAGGAGCAATAGCATCCAGCGCCACTCTCAAAGAGCCTGTAGCAGTATCGACAAAATTATCGATCTGAGACGGACTGAGGTTTTCACAGGAGTCTTCTTGTATCTTGAGGCAGGGCACTGAACTTAGAGCAGAAGGAATGGCTTCTTTAAATAAGGCTACAGCGGTATCCGATAAGCGTCGACTGTAGAAACCTTTGGCAGGAGGAGGTGGTTCTGATAGTAGAAATTCAAAGGTTATCAGACAATGGTCCGACAGGAGAGGGTTCTGTGGAAAAATTGTTAAATGTTCAATCTCAATCCCATACACAAGAACCAAGTCGAGAGTGTGGTTAAAACAGTGAGTTGGTTTATTTACACACTGACAGAAACCAATTGAATCTAACAATGAAAGAAATGCAGTACTAAGGCTGTCGTTGTCGACATCCACATGAATGTTAAAGTCACCCACAATAATTACCTTGTCCGTTTTAAGGACCAAACTCGTTAAGAACTGTGAAAATTCAGAAAGAAATTCTGAATAAGGACCTGGGGCCCTGTACACTATTATAAAGAGAACCGGCTGGATTATTTTCCAGGTCGGTTGCGAAAGACTGAAAACCAAGCTTTCAAATGAGTTACAATCCACCTTAGGTTTAAAGTTTATTAAAAGGCAGGAGTCATAAATAGCTGCCACTCCCCCCCCTCGGCCTGTGCCTCGGGGAATATGAGTATTAACATGACTCGGAGGAGTCGCTTCATTTAAACAGAAATATTCCCCATTCAACAACCACGTTTCAGTAAGACAAAATACATCAACATGGTGATCTGATATTAGTTCATTTACCAAAACAGCTTTAGATGACAGAGATCTGATATTCAAAAGACCCCCTTTAATTCTCCTATTTTGTTGCACTATTGCATTATTAGTTTTAACTTTAATTAAGTTATTTACTACAACTCCTCGGTTGTTTACCTTTAACTTAGATAAGTGTGTCCGTGGGGCAGACAAGGTCTCTATAGGGTTCATTATGCTGAGTGACTGCTCAGATTGAAGCGCAGAGAAGTGTGTAAGACTGCGACTCTGCTCCCTGGTCTGAACTCTGGGAAGCCACTTCTAAACAAATAAATAGATGCAGTAAAACATCTGATCGGGTCACAAACTAACTCTTCACACTGGAAACATCGGCTGATGTTGTGGTGCACACATGACCGGAGTAGATTCCTTGGCCTGAGGATTTGGATGTGTGGCGGGAGTGCGTGACGCTTGAGAGTCCTGTATCATTTCCTGTTAAAAGACAGACAGACGTCTGTCCAATCAGAAGGCTCCGTCCTCTCCTATAAGGCCCAACCCTTTCCCTAAGGAGTTCGTTTCGTTGTGCGTTCCTATTTGCCGTTGTGTTTTGCACTTCATGGCCACGGTAGAAATGAGGGCGACATCTGATTGGCTACAGACAGGTCCATGTTGAAAGAAACGCACCTGTGGATCTGCGACGTCAGCAGAGTCTCAAAAAACCCACACACACTGTGAGGGGTCAGGACTTCGACTCAGGTGCAGAGCAATAAGGCAACAGAAACTTCTTTCCAGGTTTGGAATCTTTTACTAGGAAAATAAACTAATGCAAGACAAAAGGGTGCACAGGCAAAGGCGGAATCCACACGCTCTTGTAGAAACAAAAAGGAAGAGAGCCTGGCAACGAAGTAAAAACAAGATTACCGAAAACAGCACTGGGAATTTCTAACTACAAACATGCACCTCTAGGAAAGACAAAAGATAACCCGACACAGACAAGTGGGGAACTGAGGCTTAAATACAGGTGGAGGTGATTGCAAACTAAACTCAGCTGTGGGGAGAAACGAAGGGTGAGAAACTAGATACAGGAAGTGCAGTGGTTACAAAAATAAAAACAGGAAGTTAATCTTCACTGTCTCTTCGAGTCGTCACACACACATGTGAAGCAATCCAAATAAATGCAGTGCGATCAAATATCAATCGCAATTCATTGATCTGTGCATTGGAATGTATTTGTAAATCAAATACATTTCTGAATCTTCCGGTTTACATTCGTGAGTCGCTCTGTGCACATTCGCAATTATTAAGACTGATCTCACCCCATCATTTCTCCGCTCAGGTCGCCCGGCCAAAGAAGCCCTGAAGTTCAGCCAGCATGTGGTGGTGTCGACCCACGAGGGAAAGTCCTGCCTGATGATCAAGGTCGCCA